TGATTCAAGTTCAGTTAAATCTGGTAGCAGCTAAAAACAGTTGCCATCTCCATGCCATTCAGTGCCCTTTGAAAAGAACATGACATTCACTTTCCACTATATACCGGGATCTGAGGATTAACATTTTCTAGCCAAGAGCTTGTCTAACTTTTTTCCAAATTATACAGCTATCTCTGTAAAAGCTATCACCAAAAAACTGTGGCTTCTCACATATATCTTGGATCATCTTGGTTACAAAAAAAATCCAGCCCTTGTTGATGAAAGACAGAGTTCATCCACATTTGTGTGAGACACACAATCTCTTGCTCTTCTCAATCTCCCCTGCCTGACAACTGCTTATAATCCAAATTTACCTTTTTGACCTGCATTATTCTGGTTTTCCTTGCACTGGAAGGGGCTATGGCAGTGGTCTCCAACCTTTTCATGGTGAAGATCACTTTTTGTAAGTAAAGGATACCCCAGGATCTACAGCTTCTCTCTCTGCCCCCCTGCCCTGTTCCCCCACCTCACGGTCAAACCACCCAGGCTCTGACCCCACGCACCCAGCCTGGCCCAGGCGCCAGGGAGTGTGGCTCAGCCTAGCCATGTGTGTCCTGCTGCTCCCCATCATGGAGCCTCTGGCAGACCGAAATCCAACCGTCAGAGGCTCCATGATCAACCAGTCAATTGAGATCGACTGGTTGGTGATCACAGGTCTATGGCATGAATACCATAGTCCGCGCCCTGCCCCCCCCCCCCCCCCCTCCATTCGGCATTGGTGAGACCACAGCTGGAGTAGTGTTTTGTTCTGGGCACCACACTTCAAGAAGGATGTGGATAAGCTCGAAAGGGTACAGAGAAGGGCCAGCTGTATGATCAGGGGCCTGGAAGATAGATCCTATGAGGAGAGACTGGGAACTGGATTTATTCAGTCCAAGTAAGAGAAGACTGAGAGGTGACTTGATAGCTGCCTACAAGTATGTCAGGGATGAACACCAAGATCTAGAGGAGCAACACTTCAGAAAGGCACCCCTTGGGAGGACGAGGCCCAATAGGCACAAGCTAGTTGAGGAAAAATTTAGGCTGGACATAAGGAAAAACTTATTTTCTTTAAGGGTATCTAGAATCTGGAACACACTCCAAGCAGAGCTGGTGCAGTTGCCGTCTTTGGAGGTGTTCAAGAGGAGGCTGAACAAGCACCTCATTGAGCTTGTTTGAGTCCAACTACCTCCTGCCCATGGCAGGGGACCAGACTTGATGATCATACAGGTCCCTTCTGGTCCTTTGATTCTATGAATAGTACTAAGAATGGTGACTGAGTGTGCATGAAAAACCAGCATGGAGTCCAAGAGTGGAGAACAACTTGGGAAGGTAGTACAGATGGCACTGGGAGTCAAATAGGAAGTAGAAGGTAAGAGGTCTGCCGGAAAAGGGGATATGGATATGGCTGTGTTCAGTAAATAGAACCAAGAGAATAGTAGGAAAGAGTGAGGTGTTGCAGGCTAATTACTTTCAGTGCTGTGTTGCTGAACATTCAGGATGAAGATATATCTTATGTGTAGGCATGTTTTATTTAAACTGCTTTGTATGCTGGCTTCATGTAGCAGCCTTGGATCTCATTAGATCTCAAACAAAGCAGTCAAACCCAGTCAGTATTTGGATACCTCTGAAGACAAGGTACTGAAGAAAAGCAACATTTGCAAATTCTGCAAGTAGCAGCCTTCGCTTCCAGATGCTTTAACTGATATCACTGTATGGTTTAAAGAAGCAATGTGCTACTGATAGGGATGTCTGTTGAATGAGATGCCTTCTTCTTGTGGCTTTAAAAATTCCATGGTCACCTTTGCATCATCATAGCATAGCATAGATCATAGCAGCTAATATGCGTAACCTACTTTCTCAGTGTTTAATTTGGATAATGATTTTATCTATCTAATAGTTTTAACCTAATCTAATAGACACTTCCAAGCCAAATTTGTAGTTTGAGTTTTTGATGTTTCTGTAGCCTGTTACAGTTAATGAATGTTAGTCTAAGAATAGGTTTGTTTCATTGGTGGGTAGAGTGATTCCTTTGAGCAGAGATTAGAAAGCTTGGGACTCTTGTCTTCAAGAAAAAGCTAGAGAGGAAACACTAGGGGTGGGGTGGGTGGGTGTGTGTGTGTGTACACATACACATATGTATACACAGTATAATGAGAAAGGTAAGATTTTTATTTTATATAGAAAGATATATTTGTATATGTATACACATATAAAAAATGAATAGAGCTGAGAAGTAAAAAATATTTTTATTTACCCTTTCTAATTATACTGTGTTTATTCATAATGCAGGAATGAAATTGAAAGGTGTTTAAACCTAATAAGATGTTTTTTAACATAATTAGTACATAGGACTCATTGCCACAAGATATAATTGATTCCCCAAGCTCTGTTGCATATGTGGATATAAATAGAGCAGGGGTTTTCAACCTTTTTGGATCAGTGTACTCCCAGTGGCCAGACACAAAGCGGGGGGGGGGTAGGGGTGTAGAGAGTGGCATGTGGTCGAATGCAGAGCAGCAGCAGCCATCATGTGCAAGCTTCCCCCACATTTGGGCGGGCAGCACCTGCGCAGCAGCACAGGGATGGTGCATGGCAGTGCTCTGTCCCCACCTGCCGTCATGTACTCCCTAGGGCCTTCTCAAGTACCCCTGGTTGACATCCCCTGAAATAGATCTTGGATTTTAAAAATGTTTTTAGGATTATAAACCCTCTTTAGGGATATATAGCAGCTTCTTGCTGATGGGGTGGAGATGATGATGATTACCTTATGGGCATGTTATGCAGTTACTTCCCACTCAAGGGATATGTTGCACCTTCCCCTGGAACATCTGGTAATGAATCAGTCTAGTTTGGTATGATGATTCCTGTATGTGTAACTTGTTGAACAGCTTTGAGATTATTTCATACATGAGACTCTCTCTATGTATACATATTTATAGGTGCCTTTGACTTTAATACAAAATGCAGACCCTGCATTAGTTTCTAATCTCACATTTCTGAAGTTTGGCTTTATGGGTAACTCAAAGGCAAAAACAAACAAGTTCAAACTGAGCTTTCACTCTAATCATGATTATCTCAATGGTTTTGCTGCCCCCAGCACCTGCATCTGTTTCTTCTTTCACCATGTATCCCCCTGTAGATCTGAAATACCTCAGGTGGCATTAATGGACTTTAGTAAATCAGCAGAATTTGCATCAAGATGCTGATATGATGGGTCAACAGAAGAACTCTTCCACCTTGTTGAAATGCCCCCTTCTCATCTAATTCTATTATCATTCTTGATTTTGGATATATAGCTTATATACATACTTTAGAAAGGTGTTGAATGAACTGTACATACAGTACATTTTTGCTTTAGGATAAATTATTTTACAAAGCATGGTGCATGACAACTCTCTAACTTAAGTAGAGGATAAAATTTTTATGAATTGGGACTTGAACACTAAAGTGCTATAATATGCTTTCATCCTCAAATATGGATAATGAATCCACTTTAGCATGTATTCAGATAAGAAAAGTCATTCATTATATATAAATGAAACTACCTATAAAATGGATCATTCTTATGATGCTGTAAATATTTTCTAATCATTTAATGTAGATATGTTAAGGTTATATTGCTGTATATAACTGGATAAAAGTAGTCTTTTGGGGATGCATGTTGTTTTATGCACAGCAGGGAACGTTCTTTTAAAAAACTTTTATACACATGTAAAAAAAAATGCAATATTTATCTGTATTTAATAAGAGCTCTGTGTTTTATAGGCTGACTCAGTGACAGAGACACACTACCATTAAATCACACAGTATATATTAAAAATGGAAAGACTTTCAGATACTATAGGGTTGGGAAACATACAAGTACTTAAGACAAATAGACCTGACTTTGATGCGGGTCTCTCACTCAGCTGGCTGTCAGTCTGAGATCGCTAGTAAGGCTGGCTAATTTTAGGACAGTCAAATGATAACAATGCATCTTTAACTGCTTTACTTCTTTCTAATGATGTCCTGAGGGTATTGTTACTTTAAAAAATGACTTTAAATATATATGTTTTAATACAACCGCCTTCTAGAGAGCTTCAACAAAATGTTAAGACATTGAAAGCATACGTGTGTTGCCTGACACTTTACGATTACATTTACTTATACTATGGAAAACTATTTTTGTAGGAAATTTAACCTATAACTTACCCAGGTCTTGCACCTGCCAGTTTTTGCCAGAAAACAGTATGCATCTGGAAAAGACTGCTTCTCTCCAGTCTCTTCTGTGAAACATTTCACTTCACATGAGTCAGTATTGAACAGTACTATATACTCAGATTCACCATCCTTACTGAGTACAGTGGGTTTGCATGGATGTTGCTGATGGTAAAATAAGGTTATTAAACCTTGAAGAGCTTGAAAAGCACATTTCCTCAGGAAAACAGAACTTTAATAATAATTTCTGTTTTCCTGAGGAAATGTGTTTTTTCCACTGTAATAAATTTTTAAATATGCAGTGTGCATCTGTAGTCTGCTTTCAAGAAATGTAGAATTGAAATGTTTAATGTACGCTTATAAATTGATTTGGATGCTATGTATCCAGTACAAGAAAATAAGTGATTAGTTGGTAGGTCAGTTCAGCATTCTGTACAAAAGCTATTAGATAAGGTTTGGTATGAAATGTCCAGATATTTAAAAACCTTCCTCCTTTGTTATGTGCATCCTTGGGAGGCTTAGCCTTTTGAGCTATGTAAAAGTGATGTGGCGTCGTTTCAATTGATTAGGGTTCTATTGTAAGCAGGAGCTGAAGTGAAGCAGTTTTATATTGGAGAATATTATAAGATCTTTTTGAGTTATTTGCAGTAGCTGCCTTCTTTTCTTAAAGCAAAAAAAAAAAAAAAGGTAATGGAAATACTGAATCCCTACTGTTATCTTAGAAATAATTGTATACTGAGTATTGTCAAAACTGATTTTATTATGCATGTGTTTTCTAACAGTTGCAAGAAGCAATCAAGGCTGGCAAAGGTGTGACTTCAGCTATTGACCTATGTCGTTACCATGGAAACAGAGCACTGGAGGCCCTGGAATGCTTCCCTCCCTCCGAGGCCAGATCGGCTTTAGAAAACATTGTTTATGCTGTGACCAGATTTTCATGACTTACAATTCAAAAAAAAAAAACCAAAAAGAAAAAAACTATTGTTTATTTGCAGGAAATAACTGGACATGCACTGGTTAGGGGTAAGGGAAATATATCCTGTGCTGCTAAAGATCTAAATGTGTTGGTTGCTTAATATATTTTTTTCATTTACCACATCGTTGAATGAACATGCATCTTTTGGAACTGCTACAAACAAAATTAGGGAAAAAAGGTCAAACAGTTTTCACTTGTCATGCCAGAAAATCACTTGAGGCTGTACCAGTAGAAATAATTAATGAGACTTGCTTCTGTGACCTCAGCAAATGGACAGGAAATAAGTCCTTATTGATTGGACATAGCCAGGGATGGCGCCAGTGTGGTGGCCTGTGGTTTTCCTGCACTAGAGAGGACAGAGGGGGGCGTGAAGCTGCAGGTGTCAGGAGAAACACTTTCTAAACCTGCCACCGAGAAAGAGCGAGCTGTTTAAGTCAAGAATGAATGTACCAATTTATCAACACGAAGGGCAGTTCAGTGAATTAATAGGGAAAAATCCTTTTATCTGTGTACATGCAGTCATGTCTCCTCACACTGTTTTTATGTATTTAAATGTAAAATTACTCTGTGCCTAATGCTTTCAATATTTGAGAAACTTGCTGAGAAAATGTGTCAAGCATGGTAAGTAGGAGCTTTAAAATATTTAATCAAATATTAATTTGGCTCTGTTAAGAGAAGTGGTTGCCTGTGTTTTATACTGTGTGTATAAAATATTTTGCTCTTGCTCAGAGTGACATTTTTTCAACTCTTACAGAAAAATAATCTTTCCCTCAGATCAAGGAATTTGTTTCAAGACAATCCTACACTAAATAATTTCCTAGATTTGTGAGACACTTTTTTATTTGAGTCAGATAAATGTTCATTTGTACTGTTCAGCATCAATCTTTTGGCAGAAAGGAATGAGGAATATTTGTCTGAGTACAGTTTTTCACTTTTCTGAATAAATGCGTAATACATAAAGTTTTTTTAACCTTAGCGTGTCAAATTTTAAAGTCCAATTACGGAAAGAGTATAAGGTATATCAGAAGCCTGCAATTTGACTCTGTCTCTATTTTGTTCATAGGAGATGATTTTTGTGGTTTGCATGCATGCAATTTGAGAACATCGTTGACAAGAAGGCTGAGTTTACATAAATGATCTAGATTGAGACTCAGCTACCTTTCTTCCTTCTGTGGTGTAATTACAGCCCAATCTGGAGACAGCTAGCACAGCAAACAGATTTCATTACATCGCTCACTCAAACACTAAGTGGAGTTATTTCTGTTAAATTCTTCCAAAAAAAAAAAAAAAGTGTCACAGAGCCTCTTTATCATGGACCAGCATGTTGCATTTAACTAAATGGAAAACAAGGAGCTTATACATATATGAAAGCATTGTCTATATGTAATATATACATATACTTAAAATACCAGTGTGCTTGCTCAGGTTTCTACAAGTGCAAGTCCAATGCCTTTGAGAGCGAACTGATTTCTTAAATAATTTTATTTTGTTCCTAGACTCAGTTGCTACTTTACCAAAGTTCAGTTAATTATTAGCTCTTCAGGTGTGTATTAGATAAGACTTTTGTTTTAAATCACATTTGCAAATGTCATATTTTAGTTTTTTCCTTGCACTAGACCTATCCCCCTAATACTTCATGGCAATGTAGGGCCTGTGCAGAGGTGCTAAGCCATTTCAACTAATGACACTAAAGCATGAAGTACAGTCACCATGTTGCAGGTTTGCACCAGTACTATAGATTTAATAAACATACGACTTTTTTCAGTACTCCTTACAAAGACAGATCAGCAAAACTAAATGGTAGTAATATTGTACTTTTTGAATGCTGTGACTTCCTTAAAATATTCTGTGCCCTTGACAAATTGCTGAAAAGGAACTGATTTTCTAACAATGCTTTTATAAAATTTAGTTTTGTTTGGGGTTGGATCTTTGAAAGCAACACTGGAATTACAGGGAAAGTGTTTTGCTGATGATCCCCATGGCCAAAATAATCTCTGCTGAGAATTAACAAGCTTTTTAATCTTTGCTATCTTTCTCTTTGATATTTTCTTCCCACCCACATCTCACATAAGCCCCTTCTTAAACTGTCATTCTTTTCCTGTAGAGAGCCAAGGAAGTATAGCTTCCTCCACTGCTCTAGTCAGCATCATCCCTTGTGTGGTTAGTGTGATCAGTACAGAGCAGCATAACACTCCAGCACATTTTGGGTGCTGTATAATAAATGCATAGGAACAAATTACTCCATATGCTATACTTCCAGACCAGGAAGAGAAAATAAATTTCAGTCGCTTGCTGTCCTTGTCAGTTTCCACACTTCATAATACCAGAATGTAGAATGAGCAGCTATTGTTGAAACGGAAGATGAAGGAAAGGGCAAAGCTGTGGATATAAGCCCTCTACTCTGCTCACCTTCCTCACCTTCAATTTCTGGAGGCACTCTGGTATCAGAATTGGGGCCCTTGTTTGTTTATTTCTGCATCTGCTTTTTCTGCTCTCTGCTATCTCTGAGTCTGTCTCAGAAATCTGCGCTTGTTACACTAAATCAGGAGATACGAACACAGTAGTTAAATTGACTGGGCCGCAGTTTCGCTGTGTGATCCAGGTAACTTCTAGGCTTTTGTTTCTCCATCTGTAAAATGGAAATAATACTTACTTCCTGGAAGGGAAAGTTGCGAAACTTAATTTATTAATGTTTTAAATACTGTAATATCTTCAGATGGAAGTTAACAGAATTAGAAAGTTATCATTCCATCGGAATCATAAAATAACTCTCCTTTGGGGAGGCTGGGAGCCCCCCTTTTCTACCTCTGGGGGAGGAGGAGGAGGATGGGGACTGCAGATTCTGTCTGCCCCCTAACCCCTCACCCTTTGAGATGGATGTTAAAGTAGGATCTTTTTCTCCTGATATGTTTCCTTCTTTTCTTGATTTGATTTCTGAAACACACTACCCATGGCTCTCAGCTGCATATGTACCCTTAGTCTACTTCTGTGCCTAAAATCAGTAAAAGGGAGTGAATCTATTTCAAAAGTCTTCCCCTGAATTAAGTTTAAACCAAGAAATCAGACTACAAATGCAATGCTAATGGTATTGTTTTGGGGGGGGGTGGGGAGGGGCAAGATTGCATGCATGCTCATAAATGCAAAATTCAGCAGATAATTGTGCTACCCTGGATTTGTCAAGAGACAAACTACTGGGTCAGATCACCAGTTACTACCTTTGCTCCTCAGTTAATGCAAGCTCAGAAAGAAGTAAGGTATCAAACTCATTTTATTTTTCATTAGTGTCTAATAAAAACACAGAGTGAAGACCTTGCAGTGACTCAGTCAGCAGACAGCTCAAAGACAGAAACATTCAAATTGTCTTGGGAGTAGTTCTGCAGTAGGATCTGATGCATTCATTAAAATAAACCATTGCTTTATCTTTTCCTCAGTTGTAAGCCACCCAACAGTTACAGGCTATTCCATGTGAATAAATCTGGTACTGTAACTGTCCTTATTTTCCTTCCAAAATCATCTAGAACAGGGCTGTCCAACTGGCAGTCCATGGACTGCATCCAGCTTGCAAGGGGTTAATATGTGACTTGTCACCCAGCTGCCCATCCCCACTTCCCCCATTGCTTCTGCTGTGGTGGCCAGGGTCTCTAGGACAGGGAAGTATGGCAGGAGATGACATGGGGAGCACACTGTCCATGCAGCAGGAGGCTTCATTGTCCGTAAAGTGGGAAGAAAGTCAGAAGGCCTGTGCGAAGCAGCAGGTATTCGATTCAGCTTTGGATTCGGCTGATTTGGAGGGACAGTGATTCAATTCAGTGATTTGAATCACTGGGCAATTCGATTCGGCCAATTTGGATTCAGAGATTCAGCTGCCAAATCGGGCCGACTCTTCTCAGAATCAAACAGGCGGCAGTGGTGGCGGCAGTGGTGGTGGCAGGGGCATGGCAACGGCAAGCAGGGCCCCATTCCCCACCTGGTCCCAGCGTCCTGGCACTTGTTTTTTGGTTTTAGGTTTTGTGTTTTTGTTTTTTTTAAAGCCCCGCACTCACCGGCTACAGCAGTGGCAGTCGGGGCCTCTGGGGACTCGTGGCAGAGCCCCCCTTCCCACACAGACCAGCAGGGATCAGGCCCTTCCTGCCTGGCACCCACATGGCAGCTGTCATGTTGTAAGGGTGCAGCGCGGCTCGATGGGTGCCGTGGGGCTGCGCAGACTGGGAGAGCCGGGGCTGCTCGGGCTGAGTGCTGCCGGGTTCTGAGTGACTGCTGGAGCTGCCATGGCTCCGGGATGGTGCGCGCCGCCCT